AAATCATTGAATATACTATACAGGGATGACAAAAATATTCGTTAAATCCAATATCCGAGGGTACTCATTCCGAACGGGACGTGTATTACCTGCTCAATCAGGTAATTGAGTAGGGTACGGGGCGAAAAATTTCGTCCCGAGGTGAACACGGGTAATAGAGCCTAGCTCGCCTCGTTAATATTTTTATTTTTTTTTAAGAATTCAATACTTTAAGCCCTTGTTTGATTCCCATTATATTTAAATACATTCTCTCTCTTCTTTTCAACCATACATTTAATAAAATAATAGGATCATGCTACATTCACCTAATAATTTACACAATCTTTTACACACACAACACGTGGCGGCCCCCTACCCACCAGCCGCCCCTCCAATAGGGGGCCGCCACGTGTTGTGTGTGTAAAAGATTGTGTAAATCTTTGTGTACAAATAGTTTAATTCAAAATAATATTATACGTAAATCTAAATTTTTTTCTTATTTTTTAACCACGCATTCTTCATCAATCTATTATTCTAAAATGCATTATTAGGAAATAATGAGGTTTAAACAAGTCCTAATAGAAAAACTTCACGAAATTTCATTAATTCTAATAGAAAATGGTAACTAAGATTATTTAAAGAATACGATAAACAATAAAAATCTTAGTTTACCAAATATATTTGAATAATTTAACTTTTAAAAATTAAAAAATTTAATAAATATATTATTGTCTCACTTGAATGAATAGGGACATTAAAATGAATTATCAAAAACTTTAAAAAAATAAAAATAAATTAAATCGGTACGTAAACAGGGCAACCACCTCGACCCGTCCCACCCCGACCTACCTTGTCCAACCCTACCTTAAATGGGTGACGAAGGCAAGTATGAGGTGGGAAAATGCCCCGTGGGGGGGGGGGGGGGGGGGGGGGGGCCCCGTCCCATTGCCATCCCTAATGCTATAAGAGAATTCTTTAATGTAGGATTGAACAAAAAATCACCACATTATAAAAGTGAACAAAAAAAGATTTTTTTTCGAAATAATTCTTTTGAGTCCACATGTACCTATTGGATAAATTGGTGCATAATTTATATTTCGCAAATATATATAGAGTAACGACTCATCAAAATCATGATATGTACATAAATTTTGATTCACTGAAACGTAGAAATTAGAAGGATATGAAATGAAGCAAAGTATGCAAATGTAAATTTTCTTAAGGCAGATTTCGTCCTTGCATCAATACTATTAGCATCAAATGCCATCCGTCTCCCAAGATCCAATGTTTCTTCCAAAACTAATATAACACAATATTAGCCCCCATTTGGCCACATGAAATTTCATTTCATTTTTTCTCTATCCTATTTTTAACCATACAATCTTCAATAAAATAATATCACACGTAAATTGAAAACTTTTCATTTTTTTTTCAACCACTCACTTTTTAAATTAAAAAAACACCATTCCACCCATTTTTATTTCAAAAAATGAGGCCAAACAAGGGCTAATTTTTTTTGGACGGATCAATGTTTGATTGTATTCTTCTAGCATATAAGATATTGAATATTAAATATCGAACACAAACTCAATACAATTTGAACATTATTCTTACATAATATAGAGAAGAAAGGAATTGGAAATGAATTATATGGAATTGATTTGGGTGAATAAAATGGAACCAAGAGTGATCACATCCAATTGACGCACTTATCAGAGAATTTTTCAATTAACACGTATTAAAATCATCTATATTAAGCCCTTGTTTGGGCTGCATTAAAATCAAAATTCGGGGGAAAAGTAATTTAAAATAGTAATTTCTTAGAAAAAACGCGTGGTTAAAAAAGAATGATTTTTTTTGATTTACGTGTAATTATTATTTTATTGAAAAATGTGTGACCGAAAAGAAGAGTGAAATATATATTTTGAATAAAATGGAGTCCACAACTAAACCATTAATTCCCACAGTACTTATTAACGTTTTGGTTTTAAATCAAACCAAACTGTTTTGAAATGGATTGGTTAATGTTTCAATTGTTAAGAACGATTTGAAATTGCCCAAACAGCTTCTAAATTTAAAAAAAAAATGATAATAAATAGTATGGTGTCATTTGAGTTAGAATATGAGAGAATCTCTTACTCTCTGTGATTTTAGTTGTATGTGTGCATGCGTAGACTCTTATATCTCCTCAATGTCTGCTATAATATCTGGATTTACGATTGCAAATTGGTGGTGTTAATTGAGTTAAAGGTGTGGGATTGGGATTGACAAATATAAACTAATGTATTATGAAAGACTTGAGTTTGGTTTGTTAATAATTTCATATAATTTATTTGATTTTTTTGTTTCTTATCATTCAGAACTCTTCTTTTTTCAATATTTATTATAGAAATTTATGTATAAGCGTTACCTACGCGATGTATGATTGCCTACTATATATACTACATATAATGAATTTCATGTTGTCCTCAAATTGCATTCTTTAATTGACTGTGTTTAACACTTCCATTGACCTTAAGTTGTAGAACTATTTTTGTTGTTGTTGTTGTTGTTGTTTGTAATGTGTTTCCGAACGTGAAATTTTTGTATTCTAATTGCAGTTAACGATTAAATTATAATTATTTAAATATTTGAATTAAAAAAATCTCAAAACATATTTACAAAATTATGTGCAATGCACATAATATATTAAAATGCAAAGAATACTAGAATTCCCTTTATTATTATTATTGTTGTTGTTGTTGTTGTTGGTTTTGTAATTAGAATTCATCACGTGAAATAATTGATAACTATAGAATAAAGGGCCTTTCTTTTAATTAAAAATCATCATGCGAAATAATTGACAAATGTAGAATAAAGGACCAAAATTCTTCGCTGGACCTATAGGATTCAATCATGCTACATGTACAAGAATTTTTGTCAAATAGTTTGACTGATTGTTAGATGACTCAATTTCATTGAATGTTGAACAAAATACAACTTCAAACGTATCAATTTAATTTTATTACCTCATTATCTATAAAATTGAATAATGATGGTTGAACACGTTTAGAGATAGGGAAAAGTTGGACAAATGACTTGGCAGTATGTGGTTGGATTTTTTTTTTTTTTTTCAAACCGTCAAATCCTGCGTCAACACACGTTCCTCTCTTTTTTAGGCCGTTCTTGAGCTTGTTTGTATAGCATAATTGATAAAAATTAATGTATATTTCATTTGTACAAGGAGTTTAATCCTACAGAAGACAGAATTCTAGGGCAAAGAAAAGATAATGTTTTGCACTGAAAAAGGAATTTTTGTAGTAATTTGGTCCGGATATAATATCATTAATTGACACGTGTCCAACGCAGCATATAAGTAGGAACATAATTTGACTTTGTTAGGATTCTAATCCACCTAGAATTTACTAAAACCCCAAAAAACTCGCTTAACCTGCACAAACACACTCTACAGCATTAACGAATTCCTTTGTCTACTCTACTTCAACGTCCCACACCTTACTCTCTATATAAGCCCTAAACATTGATTCCTTCACTGTAATTCATTCTCTCGCTTTCTCTCACTCTCTCAGTCTTTCCATTCCGAATCCCACACATTTTTTTTTTCCACACAGAACAAACACAAACAGTGTGAAGCCCTAAATTCATCCATGGCTGGGCTTCAAGCCAACGATTTTGACTCTCTCTGTTCTCAATTCATCAAGGAAAGAAACCGCCAACCTACGGAGGTTGAAGAAGCAGCACTTACTCTCTTGATGCTATCTCAGGAGAATCGGAGTTGGCACACTGGTCCAGCCACCAGTGCCGCCACCGCTGAAATCGTAGAGGATGTAAATCCCGCCGCCACCACAGTCACTACCACTAGTGCAAGAACTGCCGCTTTAGCCTTCTCCGATGATGACAAGAAATTAATGGAACCCTTTCCTCCTGCTATTATCGCTTCTCCGCAGGACCAGAATATATCGTACACTTGTGGCGTGTGTGGAAAGTCTTTTTCATCGTACCAAGCACTCGGCGGCCACAAAACCAGCCATCGTGATCGGTCTCAATTCGTCACCACTACTGCAATCACCAACACCTCTAATATGATCCCTTATCTCAACCCAAGCGGTAGGATTCACAAATGCAACGTCTGTTACATGACTTTTACAACTGGCCAAGCTTTGGGTGGCCACATGCGGAGACACTATGAAGGCGTCATAAAGGGCGGCAAGAAAACCGGTGGGATCACATCCAAGGGCGGTACCTCCAGCCAATGCAACTGCAATGGGTGCACGAGTACAGTCGACTTCAACTTAAACCTGCTGCCTGCGGTACCGGAGACTTACTCAGATTTTACGCTTTACTCTGGCGAGAGACTCCAGGTTCTTAGTGATCAAAAGAAAGTAGAAAGTCATATTCCTTTCAAGAAACAGAGTTTGGATTGATGGACTCTACTATAGAAAATTGATCCAGAAATTTTATGTATTTTCTGTAGAGAAATATTCTTGGGGGTCAATTGTTTTTATTATTTTAATGAAAAGAAATATAGATATGTGCGTATTTGATAATAAGATTTTTGTTTATGCTTTTCTATTTATCTTGGGATCGTTCATATTTATAGTGTTTAATTTGTACAGATAAACATTGATAAAGTAATACCCTCGGGACTGGAAAAAAATATTCATTTAGCGACGTTATTTATTTATCGATAAATGAATAAATTATTCATTTATCGATAAATAAATATTTATTATTTTAGAGAGAGAGCTTTTCAATATAAAATATGTACATTGTATGTGGTAAGAAAAATCAAAAGACACTAATCAAAGTATTATTTGAATTTAGGGAAGCTCAAAAGTTTTAGTGAAACTTAATGTCTCTAAAAACTAAGTTCACGTACATAGCAAATGAAAATGTTTAGTCTTTACCTATAAAAGTTAGATGTTTGGAAGACATATTCCAGACTCATACAATATTTTGTTTCCCCTCCAATGTCTTCTCATCATTTGAAAAGAGTAAAAAAATCAACTTTAACCGATAAAATGAGGAGTGCAATATGTGAGTATAAGAAAGAGAATTCAACTATTAGCCAAAAAGACATGCAAGCATGGGTGCAACAAAAGTTTGATTTGACTACTAGTAAATCAACAATATCGAACACTCTCAAAAGGACGTTAAAATATTTGTCAAATCAGAGGAAAAACAGCGATGTTAAAAGGCACAAATCGGCAAAATACCCTGATTTAGAGAAAGTTTTGTATGAGTGGTTTTATTCAAAAGCAAGATAAAGTGAATATGCCTGGAGAAATTATCCAAGGAAAAGCAAAAGAGTTTTTGCAAAAAATGTATGGTGAAAATAATCCAAAATTCAGCTTTTCTAGTGGATGGTTAGAACGTTTCAAGGCAAGATATGGAATCAAATCTTACCGACGTTTTGGTGAAAGTGGTTCAGTTATCATGGAGAACATTGAAAATGCTTTACTTGGAATACGATCAAAACTAGTTGATTGATTGAAAGATTTTGGTCTATATATATGTATATATATTTTTTTCTCAATGAAATCCAGTAATTATTATTTTATATTTTTATTGGACCCTTAAGGATTCAATTTTTTTTAATTACTTAATGCATTTAGCGAGGTTATTACTTTAGTCCATTGGCCCAAGTCGGCATCGAAATAAATTATTATATAATCGAGGTTATTACTTTATCGAACATTACTTTATCGAGGTTTAACTGTAGTATCTATTTTTTGTCATTGAATTGTTTTTTCATTCTTCAGAATTGTTAATATGGCAGCAAATACACTAAAAATTAGGCTCTATTTGGAAAATCAGTAAACATGGGCTGAAAATAATGCAGTTAATTGCACTTTAGTTGATGCGGAAATCATTGAGAAATCTTTAATTTCGGGCTAAAAAAACCTAATCAAACAAACACCATCAGAGGCCTCGGCTCGACCCACAACATTGCACTTTCAATTTCCTCTTTCTACCCACTTCGGTTACCCTTATCTAATTCACAAAGGACACAAAGAGGGTGGTGATTACAATGTAGAAGAAAGAATGAAGTAATGGTTGAATTCACACAACCCCCACATGGCCGCCCCCTCCCACTGGGCTCCTTCTTTCTCACCTTTGCTCTATTGTAATCTACACGCCAAGGAAGACATGGCGAGGAGCAAAACATATATAGCAAGACATTAGGTCACTCATATGAATTGGGCCTAACTACAAGTAAATTGGTTGTTTTCGGATCGAGCCAAGACTATGATGTCGATAAATTATCCGACATCTATTTTAAATCATTGTCCGAGATTTATTAGGTATCAAAATTCAACAAATTTCAATCTTGATACCCAATCAAACAAATAGTCAAAACACAAAGTTATCAAGGTAACCAATAAAATTGAGATCGCAATCTTATCTCGTGTTTCCGACCCGAAATACATGCCATACCTACTTCATATGCTTACCAGGACTAAGGTCAAAAACACCTAAATAAAAGTAAATATTCACAGTAATCAATTAAGAACAAATAAATATGCGATGACTATATAATTTAGTATAAACAATTTTTTCCAATCATGTTCACACAGAACAACAGACTGACACCAAGTTAATCATTCAAACGGCCAACACATAAGTAACAAATGCATAAATGACCCTACAAAAAAATCTCACCACAGTTATCCTATCCTATTCCGTATTGCTCCTACATTGAAAACACATATCTCTTCTCATCATCCACCATACTTACTAGATTGATCACTCAACTACAATAGATCCTTAGTCTTCGTGATAATCCTCTATCACACATCACTTCTCCTAACCTACGTGGATAATAGGTCTCCACCTAACACAAGTGATATAATTGTTCTCTCACACTCCACTTGATCAATGTCTCTTCACAGAAAAAGGATTCCAACATTTAATCACCTCGTCACTCATGATCCAAATGTCACACTCTACATTTCCAATTCAAACCACCAATGTACCGCTAAGCATCTATACTCCACCTTAACCAAAAGATATTCAATACAGTGCTAATGCATCCCAACCCACTACGCATGCAAACAATTACACAAAGTAATAAGATCACTTCAATTCATGCAATTACACACAAACAAATTGATTGTGTAATATATTAATGCAATAGAGTTAAGCAACCACACACATGCAAAAAGGATTACACACGATGCACATGCAATAACTAATCGCTCTCAATAAACTTCACTAGGGTCATCACTCGACCCTATAACCACATTTGCCTCACTTTTCTCTTTACATTTCCTTTTATTATCCTTCCTAGGCACAGTCCCTTTCAACATGTCCGAAATACCACAATTAAAATACATCTTACTTTTCACACTTACCTTAGATCTACATAAGCCATCAATACCAAATAATGACCACAAGCAAAGTAGAGACATAATTCACACAGAATAGTTAAACAAACATTTCAAAAGCCACATGCAATTCTAAATTTAATTGTTAAAAAATTCACAAAGAATTTAAGGCTAATAATTAACAAAAAATTCTTAGATCTAGAAATATGCAATGGTTACCCCTTTACGGTAAGCACAATCTTAATATCATCCCACACGATAACTTCTAATGTGAAAAGTAAATTATTACCATACACGATAATCGTTACTCTAATAAATAAAGAGAAAGAACACGATACCGAGCGAATCATGTCTGAAAGTACATAATATCGAGAAGTAAGAATTCACCGCTTTTGGACTACCACTACCCATTCCAAAGCTTCTAGGAAGAACGACAACACAAACGGCCCCCGAATGTCTAAGGCAATATCATCCTACTTTCACTGTATTGCTCAAAATTGAAATCCAACAATATGGTACACCTCGTCGCCTACAACATTTCGTCTAAAGACCACATCACCTGAATTCGTTGGACGCGTCCTCACGTAAATCATCGACGAATGCCTACACGCTACTCTCTTGACTTCGGCTTCGCCTGCTGAGTACAGCGAGGGTGATTGTTTCTCCACTAGGTCCGTGGTTTGACACAATAATACCATAATGGTTCTGCTAGCTACGAAACAAAATCCCAAATTTCTGTCTAGCTCTCTGCCCGATTTTTCAACTTCGTTTCAGACCACTTATAGCCAGTTTTTTGTCCAAAAAATCATATATTTCTCAACAGTAAAAGCTTTGATATCATTTGACACGAAAATCTTCAAGAAATATTTAATTTCGGGCTCAGAAACACCAATCAAACGAATACCACTTGAGGCATCAGTTTGACCACAACATTGCAATTTCAATTTCCTTCTTCTACCCACTCTGATTAGCGTTATCTAATCCACAAAGGACACAAAGGGGGTGATGATTGAAATGTAGAAGAAAGGATGAAGGTAATGGTTGATTTCACACAACTCCCACATGGCCGCCTCATCTCACTCAGCTTCCTCTTTCTCACCTTTGTTCTATGTAATCCACACACCAAGAAAGACACAATTAGGAGCAAAACACATATAGCAAGACATTAGGTCACTCATATGGATTAGGCCTAACTCCAAGTGAATTGGTTGTTTTCGAATCGAGCCAAGCTTACAGTGTTTATAAATTATCCGACTTTTATTTTAGATCATCGTCCGGGATTTATTAGGCATCAACATCCAACAAATCTCCACATTTCCAATCAATCTGCAAGCAGTCAAAATACAAAGTTAATACTAGCATAATCAAGGTTGTTAATCTACAATATATTAAAAGTGGGGATGGTAGAGAAACTTTTAAATACCAAATTTACCCTTACATATTTAATTACATGCCCACTATACACACACACACACACACACACACACACACACAAATTACCATTTTGTTCTTACAATTTTTATTTTTCATCAACAAAACCCTTACTAATCGTCACGATTTACATTATAATTCATGCAATGAGTTTTAATTTTTCATCAACGGAGGAATTTTTAATCTTCATACTTTTCATTATAACTCATTCATTAAGGTATTATTTAATTGAGATTACAAATATTTTAAAGGTTGCATTAATATATTAATGAAGACATTCAATGAATAAAAAGGAAATTACATAGGGAAATTCAATGACTAACATTCAATTGATTTTTTCTTTCCAATTTTAATTTTCATAACAAAGCCGTTATTACCAATTTAATTAATATTTATCATTTGATTTAAAATTAATATGAGTGATGAAATATTTAATTGATATTTATCATTTGTGTTTGAATTAATATAAGGAGTGAAACTGACATTCAATTATTAAAAAAAATCAACGGAACATTCTAGAAAACAAGTATTCCTTCCTCACATCCCATTAACTCCAACAAATGATGAACGATATCCATTCAAATCCAAGAGGAAACAATTTCCAAAACGTCTATATATATATAGACACACACACACACACACACACTCAATTGTGATATTCCCTTTAACAATATCGATTACCTCTATTATTTTAAAAAGTGATATTAGTAATTCAAAAATAGTATGTATATCATTTCTCGATATATAAGACGTGCAATACACGTGCTTACTACTAGTGTTCATAAAAGTATATTGAAAGTTGAAAAATAAGGAATGAATAAGAAGTGAAATCATTTCAGTTGTTACTATGAAAAAAGAAGCTGTAAAAGAAAAAAAAAGTTGGATTAATTTATGAAACTTGAGGGTTTGACATTTTGTTTTATTATTATCTTTCGATTTTTTTGCTGCTATGAATATAGTACATTATAGAGATTTCTATACATTATATACTTTTAAAATAAAAATATATATTAACAATATGTCACTTTTGAAATAGAGAGTGGCATATCGTGTCACTTATATAGAAATTTAGTTGTAAGATATACAAAAATTCAATGGGTTTTACCAACCTTATTCTTTCTGCGCCTCAACAATGACATGCAAGGCAAAATAAGTTTTTGGACCATATATAATTGTATTGTTAAATGATAATTATCTCTCACAAGTTTTGTGATTTTTGAAATAAATAGTGAGATAGCACTTTTTAAATATATGCTAAAAGGCCAGATTATGAGTTTTCATGCAAAATAGACTCTATCTCTATTTCTCTCTTTTTTAATATATATTTCAGTTAGCAACGAAATTTTGAGGGATCTATTGATTTATTTAATTTAAATTTTGAAGTTAAGGTAAATCAATGACAAGTTCAACAAATTATATGCCTATCTACATCATTCTCAATCCTTCAAATTTTTTTATCTACAATGTTGACCATCGATCTCCGATCTCATTTAAAATGCACATCTATCTCATCAACTTGTCAGTTCGGGTTTTCTAGATCAGCTCGGTTTTGTATCTACCATGATTTCAATAGACATCATGATTGATTCCTTACACCTGGTCAACTCACTTGTAGAAATGACGTCAGCACTGCCCACATCCACTAATTACTGTTGCCACCTCTTATCCTAAATGAAATCATGATTTTCCTGATCAAATGGGAGAGTTATTATGATGCAATAGGAGATGAAC